TTTTATTTAGGTATGAAAAAAATGTACGTTGTAATGTTTTATTTTTACCTCGTCTTATATATGATCTCCGCCACAGTCTGTCTGCACTAAAAATCTCTCTTCTCTCTCTTTATTATAGAAAATCCAATTTTTCTGTGCAAAATGCACTGTAACATGATCTCACATATATCACATACACTTTATCAAATTCATCCAGCCAGCTCTGTGATCTGTACAACTCTGATCTTGATATCATCACTAGATATCATTGCTATTGCTATACATCATTTCTATATATCTGTAACAGATTAGCACTCATCAGTGGTTAACTTGTGCAATCAATCTTCTATCATCTGCTCATGTGCTCACACGCGCCTACAAAGCTCCACACCCTCTTATGATTCCATCCCACAATTGTGTGTGTACACTTCTAATAATCTAACAATTCTTCCACTCTGTGCTTCCTCAGAGTGTGATCTTCAATATTCTTCTGCTTCAATTCTCTTGTCTATAAAAATCCCCTTCATATGATTTTTTCTTCTGATTTCTTTTTCTCTTTCTTTCCTTAATCAATTTGTAATCTGTAATTAGGATAGTGCTTAGTTCATTAACTGGTGGTACACCCATTACAGTGAGTTTTCAAGCTGGATAAGTGAGTGCAAGTGAGCAATTGCGGCTTGTCAAATATCAATGAAAAATGAATCAAAATATATGAATTGAGTGTTAGATGAGAATAGATAGTTGAGATACTCTATTTGATCACTGATAAGTTTGATTAATTGTTATCTATATCATTCTTTTCTGAGTTGCATTATCATCATTATTCATGATTTCTTGATTTTTTGATGATATTTGTAGATTTCAACTTGAAGCTGACCAGTTCTGGAGCAAGTCAGCAGAAATCATGACTTGCTTCAGATTATACAGTACAGATTTAACTCAAATAGATTTAAATCAGTCACTTTTTCAATCAATAAAGTGGATTTTGAAGTCAGCTTGACACTCTTGATAAGTTATACAGAGCTATCCACAGAATCTACCAAACAACAGGCTTTTTTCAGCCAGATTAGCGCGGTACAGAGCTGTATAAGTCTGTATAGCTGGCATTGTACAGACTTAAATATACGGCCCTGGACAAAGTCACCGAACAGGCCCTCTTAATGATCAGGGGTATCGCCGTTTCGCCTTGGTCGAACCAAATTCATGTGTCTCCTCTGAGGGAGCATCTATCATCTTCCCATCTTCCAAATCAACAATCCAGTTTTTAGATACCTGCCATTGCTACTGCTCTATAGTTCTGTGCTAAAAACCAAGTCATTTAGTTTGCCCCAGATGGTGCCTAAAGGCAACACTCCGCTTTCCTTCATGGAAAAGCTGTCGTTTGCAGTCTATCTCTACCGCCCTCCCACGTCTATACCCACGCCTCCGACCACTGATCCTGAGCTTGTGCTTATTCTAGGCTGGATGGATGCTCGCGATGCCCACTTAGCGACATACATTAAACAGTATCAGACTATGTACCCTTCTTCGCCCATACTCCTGGTGAAGGGCCGCCTTGCAAGCCTTGTATTTCCCAACATAGGACTGCGTGATACAGCACCAGCTGTCGCTCCGATTTTCGCTGCCTTGACAAATGACGAGCATAGCGGAGCGCCCCAGCTTACGCCGCTGCGCCCTCGCCTGCTTATCCACTCACTGTCGGGGGGAGGGTCCTGCTCCCTGTATCATCTCTACAACAATTTCTTGCAACGGCACGGAACCAACAATATTCAACCAGTATCATCCGTTCCCCGACATGTTACCATTTTTGACTCCAGTCCCGGTGCCTGGAGTTACCAGTTCAATGTCGATCTCCTCACGGCTGCTATTAAGCCGGGTTGGCAGCGAATACTGGCGCTGCCCTTGGCGCATATGATTGCGATGACCTTCTGGGTTTTGATTCGAGGTTTTGGTCTACCCGATAATCAAAAAACATATGCAACGGCACATAACGACCCAGAAAAGAATGACGAAGCCTCTCGAACGTACATATATGGCAGTGCTGACAAAATCTGCCCGGCAAGGTTCGTTGAGCTTGACTCGGTCGAGGCGAGGAAAAAAGGCTTCAGTGTGCAACTGGAACATTTTGAAGGGACTGGACATGTTGCGCATGTTCGGGCAGACCCGGATCGATACTGGCGTATTGTCAAGCAGGCATGGGATGATGCTACTAGAGTGTGAACATCATTTACAGGCTTGTGCTGTTATCTTATCATTATCCAACGTACAGTAGATAGCGTGTGATATTTATGTGAGCGTCATGGAGGCTTCATGATGTTATCCTGATGCTTAATAAAATGTATTTGCCATGTATGTACAGAACCTTTCTGGCCATCGCCCTAATAGTCTTCATTTAATTGAAAGACTGTCAATGGTGCAGACTTCTTCAGTCGATATATCTATCTGGCACTGCCTCTAGCGAGCTTAGCTTTTCGTGAGTTGCGGAATGCTAGGAGGTAGGAGGGATGGACTTTATATTCATTCCCCTGAAACTACACGGGGGAATCTAAGCCTTCAAGTTCCTACCTTAATTCGGCCTAATATGTCGCTTTGACTTCGCTTGGTCGAGCTCATTCGCTTGACGGCTAACCGGAGTGCCCAAACTTGCAGCCCCGGCATCAATTTGCTCAATTGTCCCGTCGGGGATATATTGTGTCTAAGACATGGTTGAAGCACTAGTAAGCCTATTGTTACCTATACTACAGAATAGTGTATCTCGACGAAAACTGGTCAGGGCCAATGGGGATTCCAAGTTCACCAGGCCAGGACAGGAACATCTTGTCTAGAGCTGGGGTCACCTCTCTGTGTTGGGCGGCTTCTTCTCGAGCACATGTTAGTCTCTGTAAATTTGAGCTTTTTGGTTCTTGAGGCTATGGCTTCGGCTCGACATCTATCTTTCCTGTGCCTTATGGTGCCCCGAAAGGATAGATAAAGAGAGGGGCTTGTTGGCTGGTTGCTCCCTGCGACTTGTTGTTTATTTCTACTATTTTTCTTTTCTTTTCTGTCTTTCTTTCTTTTTTCATCTTTCAATCCACTTATCATTCATTATAATCTTGTGGCTTTCCTCTGCCCCAGTTTGAGCAGCCCTCGGAAGAGTTACTGCCACAGTTTGACAATGTTGATCGAGTTTTAAGTTGACCAAATATCTAATTCGGAACAGCAAAAAAACAAATCGTCAATCAAGTCATCTCCTCTGGATCCTCCCCCTTTCCCCTAATACCTCTCCTTTCCGTCCTATGCCTCATCCTTTGATCTCCTGTCTCTGAACCTTACCCTGGGTCGCCAACCCATTTATCCTCTCCCACAACGGTTTCTTTTATCCCCTCTTTTCGCCCCTATCTTCTTCAACCACCCCATAGTCATTTCAATTGATATCCTCTCCCTCGTCACCTTCAATACCTCGGCTATAACAGACTTCGATAGTAGTGCCGTTATTGAAGCCTGTGGCGCAGTTCGGCCCAACGGTTGCTGATTCCTACAACAACGTTTTTCTGAGTCTGAATGTGTAAAAAGGGGCCTTGGTATGCCCGAGCTAGATGGGATCTTCGCGGATGGGTTGGACGACAGGATGTAACAAATTCAAAAGTTGGGAATAGGCAGTAACGGAGCGTACGGGCAGAAGTAAAAGAAACGCTGAAACGCCAAACAAGTTTCCCAATCAAGCGATCGTGTTTACGAGTCAAGCATGTACCTACATGTCATATAATTTCGTCGTATCTTGTGACGTCCAATGCGGGCCGGTGTGAAGGATATGTCATCGCTTGATGGTACGCTCCGTGTCATATAAGATTAGAGAGGTAAATATTGAGTTTCGAATTGGGTAGTTATATCAAACTACTTATGACGG